GACTATTATATAACTATTTTATATGAAGTTCTGATGTCCATGAAGTTCTGATGGCCACTTTTCTTTCACGTGCTGTGCTGATGGCTGATAACTCATTTAACTAATTATGACTATTATATAACTATTATATAGCTATCAGTTACTCATGATAACGAGTTTTTCTTACATGTCTGGTGCAGTCTTTGGAGAAAAAGATAAAACTCGTCATGGTTTGCAGCCAATAATCCTTTAGTCATGGTGCTAAAGCTGGACTGGGGTTTTGTGGTGTGCACCAAGGGCTGGGTTGTGCCAAACTGCAGTTCAGAGGGGCTCTGTAAAAGCCTTTTTCTGGGATATCTCCTCTATGCCACCAACCCCTCAAAGGCAGCAGAACAAACCCCACAAATGTCCTGTCTGAGCCTCTCGTGTCACTCATTGTCCCTTGCTCATTGACATCTGTCAGGCAGACACAGCTCCTGGCTGTTCACAGCAGGTTCCACCACTCAGGCTGGGTGGTTCCTTCACACAGATTTCCACCTCCCAACAACAGATTGGAGCCTTCTCTTTCATTCCATGCAAAGAGCAGATAAGAGAATGTGTGCTCTACATTTGTAGTGATGATGGGAATTTTTCATAAAGCTTTTTGTGTATCCCAACATTCATCGCGTCCTGGGAATAAACCCAAAGGTTCTGTTCCTGCTTTGACCATTAGTGAGAGGAAAACAAAAGATGAAATGTTATAAAGGCACCCATAATTCTTAAGAATGTGCTGTTTGATGGTGTTTTTCCCCTGTCCCAGGAAAAGAACCTGCAGCCCAGATCAATCATACAAGACATGTCCTGAGAGATGTCTGAGAGATTGGAAGAAACAAAAACTTCTGCAAAAATCTGAGAAGTGACATAAATAGGCAGGTGTTGTTTGTGTCTAAATTATAGATTAGTGAACAGTAAAATCCACACTGAATTAATTCCCCTATGAGAGCACAAGGTGAGTAGGGATGAGTAAGAAGAGATTTAAATCCTTAAGCTTCTGATCTGCAGAAGTGCTCAACATATTGAAGTGGGCAGATCTAAAAGAGTAGAAAAGAAACTTTTGTCATCAAAAGGGGTAGAAAATGGGACTATTATGGAAAGGGATTAAAATTATTTGTCAGGGACTATTATGGAAAATATAATGTGTAATAGACATCTTTTATGGAAAATCCTTTCCTTAGGATTTTTCCTCCTGAGAAGCTCAGAGGCCTCAGGAACAAAATGTAAACATTGATTATCTGCTGCTGTGGAATGCAACAGGTGCATCTGTGATTGGCTCATGTGGTTGTTTCTAATTAATGGCCAATCACAGTCAGCTGGCTCAGACTCTGTCAGAGACAGAAGCTTTGTTATCATTCTTTCTTTTTCTATTCTTAGCCAGCCTTCTGATGAAACCTTTCCTTCTATTTTTTTAGTATAGTTTTAATGTAATATATATCATAAAATAATAAATCAGCCTTGTGAAACACAGAGTCAGATCCTCATCTCCTCCCTCACCCTCAGAGCCCTGTCAGCACGGTCACAGTGATGTCTTGATGGTTGAGAGAAGTTCTCAAGGGCCAAGGGTTTGATGGGTTTATAAAAGGCTAACCCCAATGTTAATGGTCCAGTCTTTTATTATTAATGAGGGTGTAGGACAGGATCTAAACCCTCCTGATTTAGGGATAACCACTCATTGATAGGTTTAGGGTAGTTTGTAATCAATCCTTAGGGCCTGGGTGTCCTGCAGCAGCTGCTGTGAGAGATGAGAAACCAAGGTCCCCCTGAGCTGAACCAGAGCCCTGCAACCCCACCGAGCTCCTGGCAGCCTGGTGCCTCAGGCAGTGCCAAGGATTGCAACCTTGAACCCACGGAGGGGCTGAGGCAGCAGGCAACAAATCAGCAGCAGCCCAGGGCTCCACGGCCCACCTGGAGCACGAGGTGACCATCAGTAGGCAGCAACAGCAGGAGCAAATCAGCAGCTGGGGCACCTCCACCACCATTCCCCCCTCAGGGATAAAAGCCCTGAGCCGCCTGCGCTCAGCCCTTCTCGCCCGTGCCAGAGCAGCAGCACCAATGGCTCAGGAAACAGTGCACTACTCCCACTCCGAGAAAGATTTCATCTTGTCCCCTCACAGTAAGAAGGCTCCCAAAAGGATGGCATCCCTGATGGAGCTGAAGGAGATCTTCCGCAGCGCCGACGCCGTGTGCTTCGACGTGGACAGCACCGTCATCAGGGAGGAGGGCATCGACGAGCTGGCCAAGTTCTGCGGGGTCGGGGACGCCGTGGCAGAGATGTGAGTGGGGCTGGGGAGCTCAGATCAGGCACAGTGAGCCATGGCAGAGATGTGAGTGGGGCTGGGGAGCTCAGA